GTCTGATTTTTTTCATATCCTCGTTGTTGCAGGACTCTGAGCACTTGGCTACAAAATCTTTTTTAAAGTTAGCGACGCCTTTTTGCGCTGCAGTGATCATTCTCGGATTTCTTTTACTTCGTCTACCGTCGATGCCTGAGTAATTCTCCATTTTAAAATTAACTTTCAATAGAGACCAAAAACAGTTCATAAAATTTCCTAAAACGCTGGCCGATCTTAAAGCTCTCGGCAGTACGCTGTCTATGTACAAGGGGATTTGTTATTGGCGGATCCTACTAACGATTACGCTCATTTACATATTGTATCCTTTTCACTATTTGGATGCGCACACCGTCAGTCTTTTTAAAATTTGTGTGTTTTATTCTTATAGTCGGTGGGGTCAGCCATCCTACCATGGTAGAAAGAAAGAGAATTCCCATTCATTAAAAAAGAAGCATTTCCTCTTCTTTACGTATCTACATTCATCTAATTTTCTCGGGGTCTACATTGTAGATTTAATTAATTAATCAATATAAATCTCAGTAATATATATGTACTCCATTTTTTCATAAATCAAGGGAACAACAACCGAAAGCTGAATATTTTAAGCTGAATACTGTCTGTGATCTTACTAGAGTCAACATTGTCGACCGTATTTCCATCTCGTTTTCTTTTTCGTTTTGGTTTATTATCCTTAACGGCTCATGTCCAGCCTCCAGTCTTTCATGATCCCAGGATCGGTTGTTTTCAGCATCCTGCTAGGATTCCTCTTTCCAACTCCGCTAGCCTTGTTTGTGATAGCCTTCGTAAGTCCTTATCTTTAAATTTGATCTTGTAGTGCTCGGCTGTAGGCGCTTCCTGTTGCTACGTCTTAGCGGACTTCGTTGGCACTCAGACTGTTGCAAAGCTATTCCCAGATCAGATAAGTACATGTCGAAAGATGGTACGTTTTTACATTTTCTACTTACCTGCTCTTTAGACGCGTCGGTTTCAGAGCATGTCGGGGCTGGCGATTTTCTTCTTTCGTCTAAGCCCCATCATCCCCAATTGGCTAGTGAATATTTGTTCGCCTGTTATCGGTGTACCCCTAAATGGTTTCTTCTGGGGTACCTTTTTCGGTAAGTCTTGTTCATCCAAGAGTTCTAAGGGTTCATTCGACTCTTGTCGCCTAATAATTGATTTTATTCTTAAGTGTTTTTTTAGTGTCCTTTAGCATACTTAAAATTATCATTCCTACAATAAAAAATGAAGGTCAGCTCCACTAGTGCGCTTGTATTTATTTATTTGTCTTTCGTTTTCGTAATTGCCAGACTTTCGACGCGCTTTGTGCTCCAGGTTACCTCCCTAACCCGCATTTAATGTTTTTTCAAACACTAGCATGGACCTATCAAATGTGTATTTTGAACGTTTCGAAACGCAAATGGGTTCATATTTGCTACACCCCACTACTCGTGGCGCAGCCACCCCTCAAGTACGACATTGAGATTCACCACGGCATAATCACGTTCAATCTACTTACTACACTCGAAAACTCTCTACTACTAGTGTTAATAATTCCACCACCAAAAGAAGGCACCCCAGGGGATTAATGCCTGCCAACTTGAAAAAGTAGACAGTTTTAAGTACTTCGGGGGTGAGTAAGGGTAACATTGTCTCTCGAATTGATGCTGCTCGCCGGAGTGCTCGCTGGAATTTGTGCTTGAAAGTGAGCGAGGGCTGGCGGAACCTGCCCACCGCTGCCCGAGAATAATTTTTCGAGTGAGGTATACCGACTTCATTTCAGATGAGGCGGTTGGCACTCGCTTCAACAATGTGCGAGGATATCTCAGGTCATCCAAGAAAGATGACGTAATTACTTGTGTTTATACTTGTTACGGCTGAAATCGTACCTGATCTAGCCGGTCTCAATGATGTCACATGCTGACGATTTGCGGCACTGGAGCTGGAAGCTCAATCCATTCTCTCCTCCAGCGACAGAGACCGAAGACCCAATACTCCCATGTCGTGCCGAAATATGCCGAGCCAGGTCTTGTGTTGATCTATTCTTCAACGCCTCCAAGCAGGCAACGGCGTTCGATTGACGCCACTATAACAGCACAGTGTTACAGATTATCATAGCTAACACATGGCTTGCTTAATCTGTCAACCGATCGAGCTGGCTTTTACCTTGTTTTTT